TTGCTACCTATTTTCAATTATAACTTGAAAACTAAGCTTCGGACAAAATTTTGTAAAAGAAAAAATCGTCTCAGAATTCGCTCAAGAATATAACATTGCAAGGACATCAGGTTATTTTGAATCACCCTGTATATCAAACTCTGTTTTCTAGCCTTTGAATTTTACTAAAAAAATGATATGAAACCCTTAAAAGACTTTAAATGCATAATGAAAAAGATTTTTGTCATAAAAGATTTGTGCATTTGCATTCATGCAATAGAGTGGTAATAAAGTAAAGTAGAGCAATAAATTAGTTCCCGGATATTGAGAAAGAGGCGCCGTACTGAGATTTAGTTAGAAACAGCTAATAATAAAATAAAAAGAAATGTATTGTGAAATTGACACTTCGTAGTGCTCTAACTTTTTACTCAGTGCACGTTACTTTTATGTATATGTGTCTATATAAAAATATATATTTACTGTTTAGTGTGCTATGTACAGTATAAAGAAAATGGGATAGAAAAATTGTACTTTTCTGAAGACAGACACGAATAAAACATAGGTAAAAAGATTAGTTATTGTTTATTATAATTTAAAGGAATTGTTTCAATGTCAATTGATATTATCTTCTATTTATCAGTGAGAATCTTTATTATCAATATGATTTTGAAACAATTGCCAGATAAAAGCCAGAGGCAATCTATCGTGGACTGGTGATGTAGAATTAGAAAAGCCAGAGGCGATGTATCGTGGACTGTCAATTTTTAATGAATATAGTCAGAGGCAATTTAATGTCAGCTGACAATTTAAAAAAAGAAGAGTCAGACGTGATCTATCGTGGCAAATTTTAAGAAATACGTATTTTTTTTCAGTCAGTAATCTATTACACGTGTGGTCTGTTTATGTTTTATCGGATAGTTTGTAAGGATCGTACTTTTTTCCTCGCGATTGAAATTCTATCGTATGGCTGTATGATGTGCATACGAGACAAAATCGACTTATACAAGGTGTCTAATAGATATAAATTATATATAATAAAATATTTTGAATAAAGTTCTAAAAAGCCCACATCTCTGATTTGCTCCAAACTAGGCTTTTTATTGCATTTTTGCGCACTGATTACGAATATGACCATGCCAATTGGCGACAAGATCATTTTTAAAGTCAAAACTTAAAAAAACTAAAAAATTATCGTTTTTTAACGTTATTTTGATAAATATTGATGTAACAAAGAAATGTTTTAAATAAAAGTTGTAGCTCTTAAAAAAATACATCATTTATGTTCTATGCATTTTTGTATAGAACCAATCA